ACCTAAGAGCAGTGTCTTTCACCCGTGCAGTTCCTCTCGACTACTAAGACGTAGTGTTTTTTATAGGTTGTCTTAGAAGCACATGAAACTGGTAGACAGACTTGCAGCATCCAACAGTCACCTGTCTAGAAAGTGTGGTTGCAGAAAACAAACTTGGAAGTTACTGGAGAGGGGATGGATTTCTAGATGTGTATACACAGAGAGGATTCCATTACATTTTCTCAGAAGCCTTATAGGTGTGGGGGAAAAGGGTCGTGGAATGCTCAACCTTTGAATTCACATTTCTAGAGTACAGACAATATATATGCATAAGCAATGTGGAAACCTGTAATTTTGTATGGTGATTTTGATACCAGTGTCCTAGAAATGGTTTTGATTTAATTCAAATAAACTGTTCTAGGAAGAGTTAATAGAATAGACAGCAAATTGAAACTCTGCAGCTCCTACACAGTTTGTGTTGCCTCAGTGTTTGCAAGTTTCAGGGGTTGTATTTATATGACTGACTCTCAAAGTAATTTCTGTTTGTTTCATTTCTGTTTGTTTCTTGTTTATACGAGTCAACATTTCTTCACTAATGGGTCTAATGAAACATCAAATCCTTCCTAGATCCTTCAAACCCTACCTTGACAGATTTGTATTACTGGACATGGTATCAACAGCTTCCTGACACCAAGACATTAAGACAGAAATTTGCAACTTTTTAGTACTACCCTTGAGGTTTCTTCACTTTTTGACTTCACAGCTGCGCTCATAGGAACAGGCTGAACATACCTATAAGCACAGTTTTAATAGGTAGAATTGCATTTTCTAAACCTGCCTGCCTAAAATGAACCAGCACAAAAAGGGATGCTTTCCAAAATTTCAGCCTTGATTAACATACAAAATAGTAATTTAGCAGTCAGGCTGATATGAACTAAACTGAGGTAAATCAGAAATGCACTGTTGGATCTTTCCAAAGTTATTACTGAATTCTCCAGTTTTATTTACTATTTTCATAGTATGAAAAATACTGTATGATAAATACATCCTTAAACACATGTATGTGAGTATAAAAATGATGAAAGGCAATTTTCTTCTTTCTTTTAATCCATCAGATGTTATTACCATGAAAAGAAACACCAAGAACCAAGAGAAGTGCCTTGGAAACCAACAGGGAAATAGAACTTACTACCTTTATAACATATTCCATTGTGAACAAGAGATTTATTTTTGCAAATTGACGGACTACTTCCCGTAATTCTTTTAACATGCGTTTTGTATGTCATCAACAGTTTGCAGATTTACATTCTTTACAGTAGCATAACTGCCAGTAGTACTTAATGCTCCATACTTAAAAACACACTTTACAATTGATGTGTAATGCTGCCAAAAATTAAGTAAACACAAATATTTCACCAAGAAAATTGATGTACTATTGCTTAATTCTACAATTTTAAGGAATGTTTGTTTGTATATCTAGAACTTCTGAAGATCTGCTCCACAGTAGTTGTGGTCACTTGATATCCTTCATGCTTATGCAATTTTTAAAAAGTTTGGTTAAAACAGACTTGCATTGGGGTCACATTGTACCCTAGGAGTACAAATGGCATGACAAACAGGAACGTATTTCCAAGTAGACATATTTTTTGGGACAGTGGAGCATGAATTTTGTACACAAACACAAGCTGCCATTAATTTACTTTATATAATAAATGTATAAAACATTCCAGCGAACGTGCAATATGTAAATACTGTAAATAACAAGCATAAGTAATAAAGTGTTTGGTATTAAGTTGTTCTCAGTTTGTTTTCTGTTCACTGAATCCAGATAAACAAGCTGCCTTCTGATAGCTACGATCATTTATCCACACCTGAACCTCTTTCCGCTAAGAGTTCACCAGAGTAAGACAGGAAGGTACACCCACCTCAGAGAAGTCCAGTAATTTGGACACTCTCCATGGATTTGTGAGAACAGACATGTGTTCCAATCCCACAAAATGACAGATCACAAGGCTGCTCCAATTCTCTACAGAATTATACATTTGAATCTTTTTTTATTATAAATAGTTTTTTTGGGTTGTTTGTTTGGGGTTTTTTTAAAAAAAAAACCAACCAAAACTGCAGTCTATTCATGATACTGCAAGGCAATAAAATCAGTGAATAAATCATTTTAGTATTGTAAAATTTTTAAGGAGTCAGTGCACACTTACTCAAGAAGCCTTGATACACACTTCCCTTTCTTCATTAAATCAGATACTAAATCCAGTTTGTCTCAAACAGGAAGAAAATTTTTATATGTCATCGGTAGATGAACCTCAGGTACTTTTATCTTAATACTGCCATTTAGCTTTTATTTCATCCTCAATTCAAACCACAAAATGTAAAAACAAAGCCAAATACACTCCTCCCTACCCTGAGAAATAGCTAGGAGCTGGGATTCTTGAAATTCACATTTAAGAGCTTTCAGCATCTATCTCTTTCGAAGAAAAAAAATAGATTAAAAAAAGTCAGAAGTAGAAAATCCCATCCTAGAACATGGCTGTATTTAGTAAGGGAGAAGTACATATTTTGTATGTGCTTTCAGTGATCACTAAATGCTAAAGTTTCATTTCTCAATGGAAGCAATACATGCATACCCAAAAACTGGTAGTTAAAGGACTCTACTGCTACAGGATTCACTTAGCTGCTCATCTGCAGTAAATATGTGGGTGGAACTCTGTGCTTCCCTGGGGTTCCACTGACTGAAATCAGATCACACCACATTACTTAACAGAGAGGTTTAAATTAGTATAAATATTTCTTTTTGTAGTAGGACACCTGAAAACTGGTTAAATAAAAACTTTCTAGAAAATTTCTTTGTAAAAGGAATAATAATTTATTTAATGACTGAATAAATGAATATAATTAAATCCCATGGGAGTTTTCTCTAGATTTAGCAGAAGTCAGCGTACTTTGACAGAAGATACAACTATACCATAGCAGATTTTTTTTTTTATTTAGTCTTACACATAAGCTTACTACCTAGACCAAATCAAACCATGATGGGGGAGAAGGGGGAAGGAGCAGTCAGTTTCCTTCAACATTACATTTTTCATGAGTGGTATTTTAAACCTCTAAGAGCCTAGTCATTTGTATGATACATGATTTGTGTATTAATTCTATCTTCACTGTTTCTCTTGGAACCCAAATAACAGTACTGTGTAACTGTCCTTCCTAAAGGCAATTCCTCTTCTGTGTTCTTGTATTCTACAAATTCTTTTAAATGGTGCTCTCCTTCCCCTCCTCCAAAAGAAACCCACTAAGGACAAAATCAATCAACTTTCTCCTCATAGTAGTGAATTGTTTAGCCAATAGATTACTTGCTGAAAAGATACCTCAAGGCTGAAACTTTTAAAAACCTGAACTGAATTTAACACAAATAGTTTTGACTTAATATCACTTTACCAGAAGATTCCTAAGCCTACTGAAGGTAAAAAACCATACCCTTTTACCTCCTTTCTTTTACCACAGCAGCTCAAAGATGAAGATTTAAGACTTTTAAATCTTCAATATGTAGGAAACTGTAGGTTTATTTCCCACTCAGCCATGAATGGGAGAGCACAAACCATCATGTTCTCTATCTTCTGAGTTACTTTACTTTCACTGGAGTATTTTAAATGGTTATTCTGGCAGAGAAGAACATCAGATTACACCTAAATACTTTCACTTTTGAGGTTAGTGCATAAAACCACATTTAAGATGGTCCATCCCTAACTGCCCATCATTTTCCCTCAATTATCTTGTCAAAACATAAAAGAAATGGAAAATAATTTTTTACAGTCAGTGCTTGATCTGACCCGACTTATTTTATGTATTACTCTTTTGTCTCTGAAGTAAAACAGCTATCAACTTGGAAATTCCTAGCTTGTTCTTTAAAAGTCAAAACTATTGGTAATGCAATAATGCACAAAGATCCTGATTTCTGTATTTAAGTGTTCCATCTACCACTTGCCTTTCTGTAAAGAGATTCTTAAGTTTTATGTCTGATTGAAATTTTAGCCCAAACCAGAAACCTCATTAATACGAACACAGTTGTTCTACAGCAAGAGTCCCAGCAAACTTTATCCCTGTTATGAAAGCTGCAGCACACGCAGCCCTCCCCAGGAAGGAGATTCCTCCCTCCCCAGGAATAACAGGGTCCTCTATCAAAATGCATCGCTCTCCCAGAGGGGAGAGTCGGTGACAAATGCACACATTACTCTACTAGTTTGGAAGGCAGACAGAGGCAAAACCAAGGCTAAATAAATAAGAAAGCAAGCTTTACAGATCCAGTTTTACAGATAGTATGGTAATGCTAGTTGATACCAATGTTGGCACTATTCAAAATAGGAAAATTATCACAGTATCAGTTACATTACTGAACTCAGCACATTTATGTTTCTAGGCAGAAAGGAAAGGTGATGTTCAGGCAAACAGGCATGGATTTTTACAAAACATTCAATTTGTGTCCAAGAGCAGAACCTTCTACTTACTGGCCTGTTAACTTTGTTATTATATTACAGATGGACTGTCTTCAGGTTGACCTATACTCTGAGAGAACACTTGTGACAGGCTATCCATTCTCCTGAGTAAATCTGAAAATACTGCCTGACACTCACATAGGGACTGTGATTATGGCAAATTTCTCATTGATTATATTTCATGGATTTGGGTATTTTTCTACTATGAGATGCCAAATGTACATTTAACATTAGGCTTTTAAGCTGACCTGGTTTGTTCTCAAAGTAAAAGCTATGTTACGTGTACCTGTATCAGTGTGCTAGGAGTTGATCACAAGACAAACTCCTTTTAACATCAATCAATACTTCTGAACAGAGTTCATCTTAATTAGTATAAAAATGTACAAGAACAATTAACCAAATATGAATTATTATCTCGCAGACTCCCACTGAAAGCTGCTTTAAATTAACTCACTAAGGGCACAATGAGAAAACCCCAGTTTAGACAGAACAGCACGTAAAGAAGCAGAATATTACTTTTGCAGTGCTTGTGAGAAAGCACTGGAAGAGTTTTCAGATAAATTTATTCTGAATTATATACTTTATTATTACAGTGATGTGTGACAAAATGGTTGATCATCTAATCCAATTAAAACTTTTCTATATTTTTAATTAGATGACAGAAAACCTAAAATATAAAATTAAACTGAAAAAGTTTTGAACTGAAGCATAGTTTTACAATTTGATTACATCAATCAAGTAACCTTAAATATTTCAGGAGAGGCTAATTATTTTTATTTAGAAATAAAATGATGAAGCATTAATGAGGCTTCTCCAAAAATGCTTTACAGCATCTAACACACTGCTCATAAACAGTTTCAAAGTCCTTTTCATTCCCCTAGAAAAGAACAGAGGAAAAACATTAAGAATAAGCAATACTGGCTCAAATTAAAAAAAAAAAAAATGCAAACCAGTTTCCCACTGTCAGTAACATCAACTAACTGGCATGAGGGAAGAATAAGAACAGTACAAATACTTGGTGATAGTTTTTGCATATTTCTCCCTAATTTGAACTACCTGCGGATCAGGAATTTCCACAGCCAAACACTGTGACTTTTACTCAATACTCCTGGATGAACTCCCCTTCACATATTTCTTCCATTCACTTTTTGAGCCCTTATAAGCCTTTTATTTTTCTCTACATTCATGGCATGTTGTGTTTCACAGTGTAATGAAGCACTGTGTGGAAAAAAAATCAGCAAACCCCTTTTTGTTCTGAACATGCTTCCCACTAATGCCATTTGATATCCTCTGCTTTGTAGGTAATGAATAGCAATTCCTTATTTACCTTTTCCCATGATACCAAGATTGTCTAGAACCCTACTGCATCTTCATCCACTTCTCTTTCCTAAACTGAGGAATCTAAATTTACTTGGTTGCTCCTGGCTGATACTCAACTTCTTTGATCATCTCTGTCCATGTCTTTGTCCCTATCTTTCTTGATTAAATCCTCTGTGCAAGGAGGGTGACCAACCAGGGCTTCACCCAATATTGAAAATATAGGTGCACTGCATTATTTAAATAATTGTTATAAGCATAAAGACATATTTTCCTTTCCTATCCCAGTAATTTATATTGTTTTGTTAAGTCACTAAAAAAATACGTTTACACTTGTCTTTGTGTAACATCAGATTATGTGTCACATGACAACTGTGGGATCTGGAAAGATTAAATACTATACATACACAATTTTTAATCAAGCTACAAAAATAATTTTTTACACATACATAGTAGGGATCTTCAATGATAAGCTGTTTCTGTGGATCATAAGCTCCAAGTAGTTCAATTTTAGCCTTGCAGTCTTTAACTTGGTTGCTTTTCCTTTTCAGATCTCTGTAAAAGAGAAAATAAAATTTTCCCATGAATTTTTCTTCAGAACTTTTTTGGCATCAGCATGAGATGCTCATGACCATTTCTAGAGTACACTGGATAATAACATGCATCTACACCCAGTCAATTCTGTGGACTCTCTATGTTGCTACTTGTTTTCTTTTGTTTCTTCTTGTGTGGTGGTTTGTTTTTTTTTTTAATTGAGTACAGAGGACATATACAGAAACTTAATTCAGAGTATAAACAAGCAGTCAGGCACTCGACCTAAGGCTTAACAGAACTCTGCAAAAGTTCATTCATCAACTTCTTCCTCAAATGAATCCTTAGTACTTTCAATATCCACCTTCAGCTCGTATTGAACGAAAATAATGAAAATTATCTAGATATTTTTCCATAAGTAGGAGTAAGCTTCTCCCATCTGTTAAAAAACAGTGTTTTCAACTGGTATGCTGCAAGTTGTCTCTATACTGCCTGTAACTCATGTGAAGTTCTACTACATTCAGTTAACAGAAAACGGTAAATTGGTGAGCAAGACCTGTCTTCCCTTTGCCATACTAGAACATTTCATCAGTTGTCACATCCTCTTTCTTCTACATTCCCTGATAAAACATACTGGTTCCAAGATGGTACCTTCCCCATCTACTTACAAATGTCCATCCGCTATCCCAAATGCAGCTAAAATGTACCTCATCTTCACATTAAAAGCAGCTCAGTATGATGATTTTCACAATGCTGAACAGCCAGAACATATTAAACGCTTTTAATATTACACATCCCCATATCAAATAAACATTTTACTTACCTAGCATTAAAAAGGGTAAAAAATCCTGTAAATACTTACAGTCATAAGCACAATGAGTTTTAAGAAATTGAATTCTAATTATTAATTAATTCTGATTAAGAAATTAACTTCAGATCCTTTAGAAATAGCAGACCACAATACTGTTTTTCCTTGAAGAAAAATCAGGACTCTTCTATCAACTAAGAAGCTATTGCTTGAATTGACGGATTTTCAATCAATTCTCTAGCCTTTATTATTAAACTAATGTCTAAGCACTTCCTTCGAGGCTTTTGGCGTACCTCTTAATGAACAGGAGAGTGCCAGGTGGCTCTGGTACTAAGGAAAAGGGATGTCCTAAATCTTCTGATATGACAGGCATTCCATCAACACCTGGCATCAGCTTGCCCTCCTAGGGCTACAATTAGGCGTTCCCAGGGAAAATGGTTGGACTGGATGCAACTTTAAGGTGAAACTTAAATGTAGCAGTAACAATATCCCTATTATAGTTGCGATGTTTCTTCTGCTCTACAGCCCATATTATATAAAATGTTAATACAGAAGTAAGCTTCCATTTAAAAATTCAAGTGAAAATAAAAGTAAGCCTAGTTACGTCTTTGCCTGACGTGCTGCAATCAAGCCAGGTGTTATACACCCTTCATTCTTGCAGGCTGTAAGTGAGGTCACTCAACAAACTAAGTGAGAAAATTCAACAAAATGACACTTACATCAGTCAAGTGGTGCTGCTTCTACAAGTCTTTACGTGCTACTAATAGCATTTTATTTGGGTTTTGTTTTGCTGTTGGTTGTGATGTTTTGGGGTTTTTTGTTTTGTTTTTAAACTAACTTTACAAGTAATATTCCTTACAAGCACTTTGACACTTGTAGTTTATTAAAGCTCAGCCCCAATCATCAATATGTATGTAATCAAGCAGAAATTTTGCTAATGATATCCAAACTTTCACACTAGGCAGCTACTTCACCAAATCTTCCTAAGCATAAATTGTCTCAAAGATGCACTTAATTAGAACATGACTAATGGTAACAAACAAGATTTACTGCAGCTAACAGCCTTACTTATTTCAGAGCTCACTCTATTTCTATTAAAAAAGAAAACCAGAAAAAAACCCACATCATATTTAATCCCTTCCAAGTTTCCACAGTGTCTTTCAGATCCCATGCAATTAGAAAAACAGACCACTTCCATCAAGACAGTATGGCCTCATTCGTAATTATACAGGCATCAGCTGCACATCTATAGCATAAAGTACACTAAATTTCTGTCCTTAACCCTTAAATAGCACGTATCACACAAATAAACCACTGAGTTCTAGCCCATTAGACTTACTAGAAGGGAAGAATCCATCTATTAGGGTACCATTCACACACACATTACAAAAAAAACAAACCAAAACAAAAAAAAACAAGACAAGCTAAGCAGTATAACATGACATCTGTCATCAGAGTGACTTATGAAACATCACTACAAGTAATCCATATGAATGTGTTCCATTTCTTCATACATTACCTTAGATTGCTCTCATCCATACAAAGTATATAATCAAAGGTCTGGAAATCATCCTTAGTAACCTAGAATTAAAAATACGTGTTTGAGCCTACAAAGTGTGTTTGATTTACAAAACAGGGGAAAAAGTATTTTCAAATTTTGCAGTTCTGATACATTAAAAGAGACACAGATGGAAAGAATAAAACTCTGAACCTTCATCAAGTTTTACAATAACTTAACGCATCTTAAATATACTCTACCATGATTATTTATCCATTTCTACAAATATTCCACAAAAAGAAGTTAGCTATTTTACCAATACTTTTTTTAAAAAAAAACAAAAACAAAACATCTCATGCATCAACTTAGAACATCATTACAAGTGACATTTCTAATGCTTTTCAATGCTTTTCAAACTAAAGCAGGTTTCCAGTTGTGTAAACTATGCAATAAAAATGTAGAAAAATAACTTTCTTGAGAGGAAACAAAAATGTAGGTAACCTGGAATCAGTTGCAATACTTCCAATCTAGAAATTTCTCACTACACAGAAAAAGATATCAAGTGAAATTCAAAGCTGAAGTATGATGATATGAGTTACAATCTCTTAGAAACAAATGTATTCATGGATTTTTGGCCATAGAAGTTCATAAAATTTATGGTGCGACGTAAAAAAAATCCAGGATCTATTGTACATCTTCCTACCATCATACCATCTGTTCGTTTCCCTTCCTGTAGCTTACTGACTCCTAAACATGAATATTAACTAAATTCAGAGATCCAAGTTCAGTCAGGTAGGAAACATTGCAGATAAACCACTAACTTAAGTACTAATGTTATCTGTATTGGAACAAAGATGGCTGCAGATTTTTAGCAGTATAATTATATTTGAGTTTACATTTAAAGCCGTAGCTTAGGGTAAAATCTTCCCACAATGCATAGTATGCTAGTATGAGATATAAGAACCAAATGTCCATAATGAGGATGAGTAAGTCAAATAAAATGTATAATAAGTTTCCATTAAGACCGCATTCCACGCACAGGCCTGTGTGCAGTATCATAACCAAGAAACTTGAAAAGTTTGTTCAGTACAGGTGTTTCTGGGAGGCGTCTCTGGGAAGGATGAGCTAGAGAAGTGAGTAAGCAAGTAAAGAGACAAAAAGGCAAAACACATTATCCTGTAAGTCAGAGTTTTATCTTGTAAAAATTATTTACATATTAAAAAAAAAAAGTTTTGGATGGCAAAAAAACCACTTATTTTTTCTGCAAATAGCTCCCATAACAGGGAGTAAGAAAAGACCTGCAGAAATTATCACCAGAGTAAAACCAAAAATCAAACATCCACACAAGGAGAACTGAAGAGGTGATGGGGGGGAGCATTTGAAAAGAAAGGGTTAATGGTGAAAACTAATGCAGACTTGTTTATTTTCACTGTGAAAATATTTGCTGTATTCATGCAGTGACTCTGACCTATGAAAATATTTTTGCAGTGGAAATAGCTCTGTTTTCCTGGCAACCCTAAGCAGTACCTCTACCAGCTGCTGATTGCTCTACACAGCTAAACACCAGCCCCTGTGAAAATACTTGGGCATAGATTTCTTTGTAGTAGACATCTGTAGAATAAAAAACAGTGAAAAGGAAAAACACACCTGCCACACTTCCCACTCTCTGTATACTTGACAACTTGACAGTTGTTACCCTATGAACTAGCACTAACACAGTTGCAAACACAGCCCTAAAAAGAAAATTACTGGTTGCCTTGTGCTTTTTAAGCCCTAGAGTAATATCAGATACAAAAAGCTTAACTGAGCAAACTCCAGTGAAATGAAGATACTCCTCAAAACTATGAAAACTAGTATTTTACGGGAAGAAATTGAGGACATAAAAATGTACATACATTTTGAGAACAGCGGAGAACTCAAGTAGTAAATTGTGGACAGAACTACACAGACAACAATAACTTTACATTAAAAAAATGTACATAACCATTATTAAAGACTATCAGCAGAGAAACACATCACCATTCCAATTTATCTGTTAAACATTTCCCTTTGTTTACAGAAGGGAAATCTCCTTTTCTCTGCCTAAAAATCAAAGAGAGGCAGTAGTCCTCAAATTTATCCAGTTGTGAAACAGCGTTTAATACAATCTTCCTCTAATCTCGATTTCATATTTAAGGCAAATGCATGGTATGAGTCATACAGAAATCAATTTTGTCCTCAGCATGAATAAAAGTGAAACTGATTAATACCTATCTGGTTTGTGCATGAAGACTAAAAGCTTAGAGAATTTCAATGCGTGCATAAACATACAGCAACCTACCATCAGCTAACATATTAACAATCTCTTTATTTTATACATAAATATATATATTTATTTTTATGCTTCACTTTTCACTTAAAATTCCTTTAAATGATCACTGTATATGATGGTAGGATGTAACCAATTTAACATTCTCTCTTACATAAATCATTCTTGTGGCATTTATGTCAGTTTTGAATTAAAAAAAGATACAATCCAGATTATCATAATTAGGCACAAAATTACACACAAGAAAGTGCCTTTCACTGGTGAGTAACAGTTTTCCACAGGAGTGGAGAGGATAATTGCATGAGGGAATCATCTTATGCCAGTATTTTGAAGGAAATAGAATATAAATCCCTCCTCTCTATTTCTGCAGCTTCTGCATTAAATCTTTCTTAATCAGTTCTGAAACAAGTTGCACAAAAAATTCTGTCTTTGAGTTTGTCTCTACTAGTGAACGATGCACTTCCAGTTGTACTAACCTGACCACACTGAAAAGTCCTGCTCTACACTGTTGAGTCCCTCTCTTTCCAGAAGTACTACAAGACTGTATCAGGTCCACAGTTTAGAAAAATCAGAGACCATTTGACAGAAGTTTGGGGGAAAAAAAAAAAATTAAAAAATAAAAAATTGGAGTTACAAGTTAACATCAGTGCAAAAGGAAGAGTTACCTGTAGTTCATGGATTTGAAGATTTTCTTTATAAAAGAAACTGCTTGTAATGAGATGTTTTAGACAAATTTTCATCCCGTTAGTCTTTAATTTTATTGTTTCATTTTTGTTAATTTTCTCTCCCTGTATATGTAACATTTTAGGTTCTTCTTTAAAAATCTCTTCATTTCCCAGAATGTATAAACAAATGTCTTCATTAAAGTGTTTTCATTCCCTGTCTGCCAAAGGAGGTTATATAGATTTGTTTCAAGGCAGAGGATCAACTGTTTTTTGATGCTTTGCTTTAGTTCAACTGCTCATAAACCATTCATATCCAAGAATAGTTCTCAAGTTTCCAAGGCTTATCTTTTAAGAATACAAACATGTTACACTACTGTGACTGAAACATTGACTGATTAGTTTCAGTACCATTTAGCTTGTATAATGATAAATAATACTGTTTGTAAGCAGATAGATAGTAAATCCAGAACTTGTAACAGGAAAAGATCACAACAGACTTTTTCTAGTAATTATTCTAATAGTAAAACACTGAAAATCTGAAACTATGTTGTGCTCCATCCTGTTTGACTTATATAACAGAGATTAGCATCAGGAGAAGTCTGCAGAGGGCAACTGACTAATTGAGGGAATTTATTTACAAAAGTTAAAAAACTAAACACCTGGTCTTTGAAAGTGAAGAAAGTAAACATGACCTCAGTAAGGTCTCCTAAAATTCTGAAGGAAACAGAAATGGAAGATAATAACAAAACTACTTGATCTTTCTGTCAATACAAGAACTAGTGCCATAAACTCAAGCTAAGCAAAGGTCAAGCCCTACAAGAATATCTTCTATCCAGAGAACAGTTAACTGAAGTAAGTTATGTGCATTTATTTGAGTGTCTGAATGGTTTAAATAGATGCAGACACATTTATTTCCTATCTCTCTGGAATGCAGCATGGAAATACATGTTCTTTTGTTAATGAAAACTGGGATGAGTTTTGGTAAGGATTTCAACTAAGTGACAAACCTGTCTTCGACTTAAGAATGCTTCCTCTGAAGTTACCACCAACCGTGCTACTAATCTTGGGTTTGAGTGCCTTCATTCTAATTCAGCACTCCATATTTTTTTAAAAGATCTTCATGCAAAAGAAGCAGCTTTTTGTGGTGAGTGAACAGGTATTCTACTGCTTTTTGGATCTGCTAAATGAAAACACAATTCCTTGCTGAAAGAAGCATCACAGATTACTGGAGTAAGTCCTTTTTTAAAAAGTATTAAAAAAGCTTTCAGAAAAATGCCCAAAACACTAAACATTTGAAGGCAGGATTTTTCTACAATGTAGAAACTGCTCCAATGCTTCCTAGTTATACTTCCAATTAAGCTTAATAACAAGAAACTCACTAATCTCAACCAGAAGACTGAGGCTACTTTGAAGTCCCTTGAAAAACTGCACATAGTATTTATTACTTGATGCTTAACCATGCATTGGTCAAATGACTTCTGTGATTGTAATGGTTAGGGCTAAACAAAGCATGGGTATGAATAAAAAAGGAAATATACTCTCTTCTACCTGCCGTGCTTTATGTGCTGTCTCAATGCCATGATTTCTTAGACAGCTTAAAGCCCTTGCATCTGGGGAGCGCCCCACGTTCCAGTCTGAAACAGCAGCACTGTCTGTCATCCACTGTAACAACAAAACAAATACATACACATATTTAAAGAAAATTAAAGTACAGTACCTGCCTGGCAATATGATTCATGGTAATGCCATGCTTCTTCATGCAAGCCTGTCCTCGATAGTCAGGGGAGCTTCCTATTTCATAGGTAGATGTCGCTGCACTGTCTATCCTCCACTACAGAAAAACAAATTTATATTTTTATGTCTCCTTTCTCACTGCTTATTTCTACTAACTGCCTACAAGACAGTTATTTCTTAGGTAGGAACAGAAATAAATAGCTTACCTTATTTTCAACTTTTTCATCAGTTACAAGTTTTCTAAAAACTGCTTCAGCTATCGGAGAGCGACAAATGTTTCCTACAGAAACAGGAGATTAAAGTGAAATTTCAGATTATTAAAACCAAAAAATCAATAATTGTGTGGATTTGTCAGCACAGCTTTGATTAAAGATTTTTATTTCCTTAGGCAGAATGCAGATTGCTTATGTTATTGTAACCCAAGAGACTGTGCAAGGTTGGAAACCCAGAGTCCTGCACCTGGGCTGGGGCAGCCTCTAGTATCAATACAGACTGGGGGACGGAGGGACTGAGAGCAGCCCTGTGGAGAAGGACTTGGGAACAGATACCAGCGAATGAAAAATTGGACATGAGCCTGCAACGTGCGCTTGCAGCCCAGGCAGCCACCCGTATCCTGGGCTGCATCAAGAGGAGTGGTGGCCAGCAGGTTGAGGGAGGTGATTCTGCCCTTCTATGCTGCTTTTGTGAGATCCCACCTGGAATACTGCCAAGATGATCAGGGGGCTGGAACACCTCTGAGTGAGAACTGGGGTTGTGCAGCCTGGACAACAGAAGGACTGAGATCTTATTGTGGTCTTTCTATATATAAAGGGGGTAGTAGTGACAAGAAAAGGGGCAATTGTTTTAAACTTAAAGAGAATAGATTCATATTGGACGTAAAGAAGAATTTTTTTTCACGATGAGGGTGGTGAGAAACTGGAACAGGTTGCCCAGAGAAGTCAGGGATGCCCCATCATTGGAAGTGTTCAAGGTCAGGTTGGACGGGGCTCTGAGCAACCTGATCTAGATGAAGACGTCCCTGCTCATTGCAGAGGGGATTGGGCTAGATGATCTTTGAAGGTCCCTTCCCACCCAAATCATTCTATGACGCTATACTATCCATCAGTCTCTTGAAATGGATATTATTATATGAGAAGATATAACTTATTAAAATAAATAGCAGGAATATTGTGTAAGCACATTGCTTTTTTCTTCTTCTCCACAAAGAATCTGTGATCACAGAAGACCAGGCAAAATTATGGAATTTAAATGGCAGCAAATCATCTTTATCTTCAAATCTTCCTAATCTTCTTTCTAAAGCCAGAAAAAGTTGCCTTTATTTTTAAAGTAAGTGAGAAAACAGACTAGCACTTATTAATCACAACATTGTTAAAGAATGTGGTAATAAATTAAATCTCACTTCTTTAACTGATTAAGCAAGTCAAGCATTGAACAACATCATTTTTATAGGAAACAGAGAGAACATGCAACATAAAACAGAAAAGAACCTTCAAAATCAATGAGCCCAATCCTTTGATACTGCAGGCATATACAGCATCACTCCTCTTACAAACACATCAAGCTCTTTTAAAAAGCATCATCTAACTAAAAAGGCTATTCAGATATTCATTTCCCCTGGTAGCCAGAAACCTTCCAATTCCCACTTAATATTTATTCTTGGCAGTCTGTGCTCATCTGATCTTGGTTAACATCACTATCTTAAAAACTTTTCTTCAACAGACACAGAATCCTTGTAAGGCATAGCTGTGCTGAACTAAACAAACCAAGCTCTCAGTCTCCTCATGGAATTAACTGACCCTTATCTAATCACTCCAGTTAAACCAACTCTGCACTTGTTCTAATTTGAATTTTTTTCTTGAATACTGACAAATAAAACCACAGACTACACTGCAAGAAGGGTTTTTACCAATTTGTTTTATAAAAAAGGAAAAAAAGTCTGAAATATTTACTTAGCTCTTTTGAAAATAACCTAAGATAACTTCTATAATCACATTTGACTCCTTCATGAGCATCAAATTTGCAATCATAATCCCCTACTTCTAATTTGCCCATTCCCTCTCTTTCTCTGTTGCTTCAAACAGGTGATCACAGAATCACACACAGAATCACAGAATGGTAGGGGTTGGAAGGGACCTCAGGAGATCATCTAGTCCAACACCCCTGCCAAAGCAGGTTCACCTAGAGCAGGTGGCACAGGAAAGCATCCAGGCCAGCTTTGAACATCTCCAGCGATGGAGACTCCACAACCTCTCTGGGCAGCCTGTCCCAGGGCTCCGTCACCCTCACTGTAAAGAAGTTTTTCCTTAAGTTTGTATGGAACTTTCGGTGTTCCAGTTTTTGCCCATTGCCCCTGATCTTTAAGTCCTTTAAGTGGATCTTTAAGTCCTCTTTCTAAACTACTAGATTCTGTTTCCATTACACAGCTGTTGAGACCATCCACTTCTTCCTGTACAGTATTTTTCCGCTGTATGAATGATCCCTCGCAACTATGCATGAACAGTTAGTTTCATTACTACACTCAAGATTCCAGTAATAAGCAGTGATTAATACTGTTGGTCCTACCAATTCATTAACTAGCTCCCAGAATTTCAAAATTTCAAAATAAATCCTTTGTGGCATTTTCTATTTGTTTAACCTTCTACTTTACCTGGATTGAATGACTTGTTCCAAATCTTCACTCTTCTATCACCTGCTCACTACTTCAAATAAATACAATCTTTGACAATATCTTATCAAATATCGTCATGAGTGGTACCATGATAACTGACTGATTAAATATATTAACTACCACTTCTAGTATAACTGCAGTTACATTCTCTTTGAAATAAACACCTAACCTAGTTTGTGACTTAAAAATTAATGTCTTCCATGATGACACATTCCAGATATTACCAGAGGCATGAACACCATTACGGAGCTGCAATCACCATTCAAATCTATTCTTGGGGACTATGGACAGAATCCCAGAACTGACTTAATAGAAGCTCTTCTCCACATACTCTGCAATATTATTTTTATCCTAACCAACTGTTTACTCATGCTACTCCTTGCAACTATTATTGTTCATCTCATCATTAACGTAAAACTGTCTTATCTCACTGACATCTAAATGTCAGTCCTTGTTTTCCAGTCATCATCCCCTTCCCACTATAATTTCTATCCATTTCATATCCAGTTTTACATCTCACATCTGTCTGTCCAGGCTTTGTTAGGGTTCCTCACAGATGCACAGTATTTCCTAAGTTATGGATTGACAGTCATAATTGGGGAATGAAGGGAGAAATCTCAGAAAAAGATTCATAGGGAGATTACTTCCCTCCGTGGACTTGAACCATACTTTTCTTAAATGTTATCTACACCTTATCTTTGCTACCTGTCCCCCTCTGGTGTTCCTTTCTCCTTTGTTGGATTTTTGACTGATCTGATCATGCTCTTTTTATATAGAAGATGACAGTATTACAAGTTCTCTGAATCTCCATCTCTTCCCTTCATTTTTTAAATTTCAAGCTCTTTAAGTTGCAGCGACATTTTCAATCACAGAAAACTAGTACCCAAAGTACCCAGGCAGAGTCTGTCCGTTGAAATAAATCTTACAAACATCTCCAAATATGTTGATTCAAGGATAAAAGACTTAAATTTCAATCACAGAATCAGTACTGGAACCATTTGTTAATCACTTTTACAGAGTCATACTTTCTCACTCATTTTATAGGAACAAGGACTACACTGACGGTTATCCAAGCCAACACTTAATTTTTTGAGTTCTCACTCCAGTCTCTGCATTAATCTTTGACCCATTCCCATACAGAAATGCAAGGATTGCTTCCACTAGCAGGAAAGACAACCTGAATCCATTTCATGCTCATGTCCATAGCTCATCTCTAGGTACTGTTGACCTAATAATCTATTCTCTCAATAGTTTTCTGGTTTTTTGGGTTTTTTTCTTCACTGTTTCTTATTAAGCTCTCTAACTCTTTCAGACCTTCCCCAAATGCAAACAGATGCTTTTCTCTTTGTTTTTCTGTCTGTTGTTTGTAACAGAAGTTTTCTTAGCTTTTATCCTCTCACATTTAAAAACCTGCTTTTAACTCTACTTATCTTTCCAGGCATGGTCAGTTCATCTGAGTGACTGTAATACTGCTTGTCAGTATCAACTGCACCATCCAGCAGGTCCCCTTCATAGGCAAGTGTTCAAAACTTAGTACTCACTCTATTCCATTCTGTACTGAAAATCCCATCTGAACTTCATCACAATTCCTAGTTCTTTCCAGTTAAGTCTATCTTGTCACACTCAGCATTCAATTAGCTTCGTAAGGAACCATTCAAAGCTCTGATTTTAGTCCGGATGCCCTGGCCTTTCCATTCACAGTCAACTGCATTGAATATTTACATTTTTTATCTATATAAACATCTAACTACATAGCTACCTAAATGACATAATCTAACTTCCATACACCCCCCCACCACCAACATAGAGTGGGATTTCTCTCAGAAGTTGAATATTAGCATGTGTGTGTGTGTCATAGAATCATAGACTTGTTTGGTTGGAAAATACCTTTGAGATCATCGAGTCCACCCATACCTGTCCACTACTAAACCACATCTCTGAGTGCCCCATCTACCCGTCTTTTAAATACCTCCAGGGATGGTGACTCCACCACTTCCCCAGGCAGCCTGTTCCAGTGCCTGACAACCCTTTTAGTGTTGCAGTTGTTATCCCGCAACGTCCCGTCCGGTCGAGGCGGCACAGAGACAAACACACACCCCGTCTCTGGGCCAATGAGCACTGACACCAATATGAGGATGCTGCAAATGGCGTTTAATGCTGTGCGACACAGTACTATATAGAGTGGGTTCACTATGTCACTTCCACCTGCTTACATCACAGGCTAAGTGCTATTGGCTACTAGGAGAGAGAGGGGGGTGT